GCATAGACGAGTGCGCCATTGCCGACTTTTAGTTGTATCTCTCCCTCCATCAATTGTCTACATTCATGCAAGTTCTGCATAGAAGTACAGATGTGAGAACCACATCCAGTATCCATCACCCAAGAGGTGATATCAAACATATTGACTTTGATAACGTAAATACCTGAGTTTTGGGGTTGACCCTGGTAAAGGTCTCTTAAGCATTGTATCATAGGACGCACTTCCATGTCCGCGTGGAGCCTTTGGAGCTCCGCGGTCATACTGGCCATAATGATACACTTTACATCTCGCGCGTTGTCCTCATACTTCTTGAAGGAAGTGAGTTCGGACGCACGAGCATTAGCATCAGGGGTCTTGGGAGGATCCGTTTCGAGGATGTAGAGTTTCCTCTCACAGTTAAGAACGATTCGGAGGTTCATCTCCCAGTCAAGAAAGTTGGTCCCGGATAACTTGTTGTTTTCCAGGATGTAACGCAGGTTGAAAGGGTTGTTGTTGTTTGCCATCTACAGAAAATTTTGCAAACTAGGTTATCTATCATGTTTAATAATTAATTAGGCCTTTAATTAATTATCTCCGACTATTTTTAACAAATCAATAACCCTTGATATTGATTCGGAGATTTCCGGTGAAACCTCTAGTGAGCCAAGATCCATATTTCATTATCTTGCGTTCCACTTGGGCGTTACTCCACAAGACAACTATTTAGGTAGGAACATAGTTCCAACTGATGAGCCGGGCTCTCAGCTCTTGGTCTGGTGTTGGGCGAACAATATTACTACAATCAAACCAGGACACCTTTTCACCGTACTTGTAATTGGCTGAGGCACGTTTTACAAGCAGACTACTTTGGTTAGGAACAGAGTTCCCATTAAATCATAAAGATCCAACTCCTGGCTTGATGAGTGAGTAAAATCATCCGACTTGTCATTGATGACCCCAACTTACTGCCTCTGAGTAGTCCATCCATTTGACCGAGACTCAGTTAAGTCTAACCCAACGTGCGACAGCGACCACGCTATGGCGGTTCCCGCAGCTTAACATACACCGTACGATGCTCTGTTGAGGCTGAGTACATGACAGTGCACATTAGCCGGATAGGTGCCGGGCGTCAGAAGATAACAGACTTAATATTCGTGAGGGATTTATAATTTCGATCTCACCTATCGACATGGCCGCGCACATGTCCATTACTAGCGTTCAACATACATTCAACATGCATTCACAAAACGTAGTAAATAAACGTGTAATGATTGTGGCCCCTAAAAGAAAAATAAAACGATAGCTCCCACTGGCTTCCGGGCACTTGGACTTCGGGCTATCTCCATTCTTTTAGATTTCTTCAAACGTTCTTCAAATGTTTTCGTCTTCTAACCACCATGTGAGAAAAGAATCCTCGGTTGAGGTAAGAGAGAGAAATAGATTTACAACAAGAGTTTATGAGATAAGGCACGACACGCAGGCCGTATTATAATCAAATAAACTATAGCCACAATCATCCACCATGCATATCATACATCCAGACAAGCAATAGAGATATACATACACAGGGTGAACCGCGCTCACCCCAGATAGTTCTAGAAAAATACTACGGCTGTAAATATTTTCTAAAACTCATAAAATTAAATTAGATGTCCAAATAAATCTAATAAAATTTTATAAAAAGCATTTTATGCATTCTGGATATTCTTCCAGCATAAAAAAATATCAAGAATATTCCAAAAGACCAAAATGCCCCTTTTGCAAAATTATATTGAAAAAGGCCATTAAAATTTTGAAACAATTTTGAAAAAATCATGAAAATTAAATTTCAACTTCGAGTAGTTATTTTTAACATTTATAAACCTGGAAATAAAATTTCCAAAATTTATAAATCATTATTTCCAAAATATATTAGTTAAATCTCAATAAGTTATAAAAAGCCATTTAAATTGATTTCGAAAATATTAAATTACAAAAATTTAATATTTTGAAAAAAATTATTTTTCTTACTGAGATATAACTTTCCAAAATATATATTAGTCATTTATGTAATTAAAATACAAATGTATAAATATATATAATATTTCGGTAATAAAACCGAGTACATATATAAATATATATTTATTTAATTACTAACTAATATTATTTTGAACAATATATTTATCAACAACCTTATTCAACTTAGAAATAATATTTCCAAGTTTAATAAAGTTCATTTTGAATTTTCCCATATTTATTTTCGGTTTTCACCTAAATAAATACAATAAATTCAAAATAGGAAATAATACATTCAAAAATTACAATATAATTTTATCAATCATAAAATGATGTTTTATGTCCAAATAAAATTATATTTACTATTTCTACAATATATATAAATATATATTTCGAAAAATCAAAATATATATATTTATATATATATTACGGGTAGAAATAAAATAAATAAATTTAAAATTCATTTTCAATGATTTATTTAAGTCCAATACTTATTCCAAGACTAAATAAAATCATTTTACCAATTTTTGAATTTTAATAATTACCAAGTTAAAACTTTGACTTTTAAAATTTTAAAAGTCAAACGTAAAACTATAGTTTTGTACGTTGGCTCCGATACCACTGAAAGGTAACCATGCAAGGATAGGCAGCGGAATATAAAAATTTTAACATCCTAACATGATTATCTTGCCCAGAATCACGTACTAAAAC